TTGCTACAAAAAGCTGGGGATAAGTGGGAGTGATGAGAACATAGAAGCATACAAGGAGGCTAGAAGACAAGCAAAGAAAGCCGTAAAAGAAGCACAAGGGAAAGTGAACAAGGAGTTGTATGAAAAATTGGACTCTAAGGAAGGAAAACAAGATATCTATAGACTTGCTCGTCTTCGTGATCGTAGGACTCAAGATATTGGAAAAGTTAAGTGTGTGAAGGATGTCGATCAAAGGATATTAATGGAGGACAGAGAGATAAAAGAGAGGTGGAGATCATACTTTGATACATTGTTCAACGGAAACAAAGTGCAAGATATCGATGATTTGACCATACGAGATTGTATGGTAAATCGTGATTTTGTGAGAAGGATCCAACCAACGGAAGTTAAAGAGGCTCTGAGGAAGATGGGGCGGAAGAAAGCAGTGGGTCCAGATGGCATACCGATCGAGGCTTGGAGAAGTTTGGGAGAGAGAGGCATCGGGTGGTTAACAAATTTCTTCAACAAAATTTGGAGAAACAACAAGATGCCAACGAGTTGGAGAAAGAGTACTCTTATTCCCTTATTTAAGAATAAAGGTGATGTACAAGAATGTGCCAACTATCGAGGGATTAAGCTTATGAGTCATACCATGAAACTTTGGGAGCGAGTGATTGAGCAAAGACTTCGAAGAACGGTGAAGATTTCAGAGAATCAATTCGGTTTTATGCCTGGTCGCTCAACAACTGAGGCTATTCACCTTCTTCGGCAACTTATGGAGAAGTATAGAGACGCTCACAAGAATTTGCATTTAGTGTTCATTGACTTAGAAAAGGCATATGATAGGGTACCTCGAGAAGTTCTTTGGTGGGCCTTAACTAGAAAAGGCATTTCACGCAAGTATATCAACATCATCATGGATATGTATGAGGATAGTACTACAAGTGTTCGTACTAGTGTAGGGAGGACTGCGGAGTTCCCTATTACTATCGGAGTGCACCAAGGATCGACTCTGAGCCCTTTTTTATTTGCCATAGTCATGGATGAACTTACAAAATCAATTCAAGACGATATACCGTGGTGCATGATGTTTGCCGACGATATTGTATTGATTGATGAGACGCAATCAGGGGTTAAAGCAAAGTTGGAAGTATGGCGACAGACGTTGGAGAACAAGGGTTTCAGACTAAGTAGAAGCAAGACAGAGTACATGGAGTGCAAGTTTGGTGGAGGTAGAAGCAGTGGTAATAGCGGAATTACTTTAGATGGTAAGGAGATACCGGTCAGCGATATGTTCCGTTACTTGGGCTCCATAATTCGGAAGGACGGTGAGTTAGATGGAGATGTATCCCATAGAATCAGAACAGGGTGGATGAAGTGGAAGAGTGCGTCAGGATTTCTATGCGATCGAGGTATGCCGACTAGACTGAAGGGTAAATTTTATAGGACAGCAATTAGGCCTGCATTACTGTATGGCACGGAGTGTTGGGCGGTGAAACAATGTCACATTCAAAAGATGAGTGTGGCAGAGATGCGCATGCTGCGTTGGATGTGTGGGCATACTAGAAAGGACCGCGTGAGGAATGAGACAATTAGACAAAGGGTGGGAGTAGCACCTATTGAAGATAAGATGCGGGAGTCACGCCTACGGTGGTTTGGTCATGTGCATAGAAGACCGAGTGATGCACCTGTCAGACGAGTTGAGATGTGTGGAGAAGAGGTAGGGAAGAGAGGGAGAGGAAGGCCCAAACAGACGTGGGTTATGGGAGTCAGAAGTGATATGCTTCTTCTTGGATTGGATGAGAGTATGGCTTTGGAGAGAGCAAAATGGAGGGCGGGTATTCGTGTGGAAGAGTGATCTTGTATCATCTTTTCTCCTTTTTTTTCTTTTTCTTTTATATTTTTATCCTTATATATAAATATTACTTTATCCCTTTATTTGATCTTTTATATGTATATTCATCTCTTTTATATTATCTTTTTATAATAGCTTATCTTTTTTATCTTTATTTTCGTTCTTTTCCTTTTGGTGATATCATGATTCATGTTAGCCGACCCCAATATCGTTTGGGACTAAGGCTTGGATGTTGTTGTTGTATAGTACTTCATTGGGTTAGTAACTCAATAATAATATATTACTACTCCCCTCCTTCCGTAAAATAAAATTGTTTCCCCTTACCTTTTAAGATGTCTCAAAAAATTTCTTATTTTGCTCTTTGAAAAGATTTTTTTGTGACTAACATTTATTTATTTATTTATTTCTTACTTAATCACAATAATATGTTTTCGCTTTATTCTCACCTTCTTAAACTTCGATTCAAGTCCAGCCAGAAAAATTTTATGGAACGGATGGAGTATTATTATCAGTACACAGTACTTCATTGAGTTACAACTTGCATATAGGTATTTGAACTAAACATAACATTGACATTTGCTAAAAGTATAATCAATACTCCGTATAAATCAAATTGTTGGACTAGCTGTCTGCTAGGCGCCTAAAAGGTTGATTATTAATTTTCTCTATTTCGCATGAAGTAAAAACCATTAACATACTATACCGTGCAACCGGTGCATGCTGAGCACCGTACTTCCAAGGGTAAAATTCGCGTGAACAGTACTTTTGCATTTGTCTCAATTTTTTTCGTGATGTAAATCCTTTGTTTTAGTATGTAACTCATGCTATTATTAAATGTAAATACCGTGTATTCAAATGTCATTCATTGTGGTGTAACTCGCATTATGAAAAATGTAAATCATGTGTAAGCAAGATGTAACTTGCAGAGGAAAATTCACATGTGACTCGCGCTTCAGAAGATGTAACTCGCGCTTCAGAAGATGTAACTCGCTTATAAAAAGATGAAACTTAAAATATTAAACACACACATATATATACCAATTAATTCCATCGATTGGCATCAATAGAATAGAGAAAATAATATTAATTGAATTTGATTATTAAGCACTTTAGATGTTCAATCAAAGCAAAAGATATGTGTTAGTTTGAATTTGCTTTTCAATTTTGAAAAAAGTTTGGGGATTACCTATGCCGACAAGAAACATGGAGGAATTTTAAATGATGCTTTTCACTTTTGTTGGGCAATTCAAGGAGAGGCATCAGCCAATGAGACTTCAAGGAGGGTTTGGCCGCCGTTTCTATCACTGTTGCCAATTGAGAGTTTGGCCGCCGTTTCTATCACTGTTACTCTTGTTGCTCTCTTTTTCAATTAATAAAACGGTGCGTATTTAGACCGGCATGGTATGCCGATCGTACGGTATAATTTGCGGTTAACATATTATTGGTCACATAATAATACCATTGTTTATCAAATAAATCATGTCAGCTGTGGGTGAGTTGGACAGTATACCTAAAAACAACATTTAAATTAGATTAGTGTATTATTGATAACATAATAATACTATTTTTTGTCAATAAATCTTGTCGGCCATGTCGCGAGTTGGAAAATACATGTCAAAACTACTACATTTAAATTGGGATGAAAATTGTTTTTGAATATGATTATATATAATTATTCTAAGAGAAAAGGGTCATATAAGCCCCTGTACTAATTTGAAACGGTCACTTAAACCCTTCTACCCTGAAAAACATCAGATACACACGCATACTAATTAAAAAGAATCATAAGAGTCACATCTATTATAATCTAAAAGCAAAAGAAATTGATGAATAGGGTTCCCTCCAAGAAATGTCAACATCATGCCTTTGTGTGCATTTTTTCCTCAAAAAAATTGGAAAATATAATTTCGAGATATTGGTGAGCTCCATGGTGTCCCTTACGTATTGGCTAAGATTGCGGTGGTGTTGACATTGAAATTCCTATACGTTTCTATTGGGTATTCAGGTTGGCTGCACTGTTTAGTAAAATACGCCAGTTCCATTCTATGGTTGAGATTTAATGTGGGTAAGTATTGGCTGAAGTACAATTTTCTAATTGGTTTAAAGAGTAGGCAGATCTGCTTTAGTGCGTGGCATTACAGAGGCAAGATTTGGTGTGTTTTAATGCTTAATTCCTATTGGTCAAGGGGGCGGTGGACTATTCCTATTGGTCAAGGGGGCGGTGGACTATTCCTATTGGTCAAGGGAGCGGTGGACTATTCCAATTGGTCAAGGGGGTGGTGGAATAGTGAAATTATTCATCAACACCTAAGAGTCATCAAAGCGTAGCTGCCTATATAAAGGCAATACAGATGCAAGCCACAATCATCAGGATTCGCTTAGCCAAAAAAAATTCCTTTATAGCACACAAACTCTAAGAATGGTTGGAATGTGGTCAATGATTAAGGAAATTGATCAATCAAGAACTTCTTGGGCCATAAAGGCGAGGGCAACGAGGGTGTATCGGGAACCAGCGCATGATGGCTTTCCACCGTCAATGGAAGTCATATTCCATGACGAGGAGGTATTGTAAATGCCTCAGATAATTTTCACTAAGCAAGTTTTTATTTATTTATTTGCTCTTGCATTTTTGTAGGGTTCGAAGATTCATGGACATATTCCTGATCACTTCATTGCCAAGTTTTTTGGCCTATTCAGGGAAGGTCGAGTTTATGCCATAAAAAATTTTATGGTTGAGGAAAATTTCATGTTCTTCAAAACCACCACCAGCGCCTATAGGCTACGTTTTTTTTAAAAAAGCGAGGCCTTTGAGATTAAAGTTCCGTTCCCATTGCGGACATTTTCGTTGGTGTCCTTTGCCACATTGCAGGCCCAAGATTCTATTGATGATAAAGCAGCTATAGGTCAATTTCTTTGTGTACCAGTACATATTATTCAATAGATGGTGTTGTGTTGGTGTACAATTAACTTAAATGAACTTAATGCAGATATCATCGGACAAGTTGTCCATGATAGGGACCCAAAGACAATTTTGAAGAATGACCGTCCGAAAAAGTTGGTGGAGCTTATTCTGGGAGATACAGAGTTAGTAACTTTATGACCAAATAAATTTACGTTTACCAGCCCGATTGGCAGTTTTCTAATTTTTGAGATGTTTTTTATAAAGGGGCAATGTCATTGCGTGCACCCTTTGGGGGCCAATGGTGGATATGTTGTTAACATATAAACTAACCACAGCTGAACCGATAGTCATGCTGCTTCAGTGTTGCCGAGCAAAGAAATACCAAGGTTAAATTTTAGTAACCTCTACGTTTATGAATTATGATGTTTCGAGAACGTCTTATATTTCCAATTAATCTGCGGACAAAATTTAGGCCAAGTGCACGTGTCCAACATGTTTAACACCACGAAAGTAATTTTAAACGGGCCGGAGGAAGAGTTCAATGAATTTAAGACAAGAATGGCAAGCAGGTGTGGTCAGGGTTTGAGTTTTACCATTGCATCTGATACATCAAATGACGGTGACATAAGCACTGGGGAGTTACAGTTGGTCACCCTCGATCAACTCTCTAAAATGGAAGAGGTACACCGATTGTGACTAGCGGTTTATCTTTCTACATTTGTTATGTTGGCTGACGTTTCTTTTTTATATACACGTCAAGGATGGTAAGCATTGGGTTTACGGAGAAATCGTTGGCATAGACAGTCACAAGGATTGGTCATACGTGTCATGCATTGGATGCAATCGAAAGGTGACACCAAATGGTGACAGCTTTCAGTGCCTCTCATGCAATTCCTCGGATGCTGTTTTGAGGTGTTGTTTCCTAAAGAAAATTTTACCCATCTAATTTGTTTTTGAAGATGTTAATAGCATATTGGCTTATACTATTGGTGTAGGTACAAGGTGAATATTAGGGTGGTTGATAAGAGTTCGCATGCCTCCTTGCTTCTCTGGGACAGAGAGGTATCATGCTTGATTGGGCGCTCTGCTACATCCCTCAAAGAACAAGTTTCTAAGGTCCGATAACTATATACATGGTTGATAACGGGTTCTATTTTTCAAATCCTGGCTACAGATAGCAGTTAAACGTACTGTTTTGTTGCAGAGGAATTTTGGGCCTAACTATTTCCCTTCAGAGATCAACGCATTGATGGACATCAAAGCTCTGTTTCGCGTACAGGTTAAGCGAGACAGCCGAAATTACAAGGGTAATCAGAACTACAGCGTGCTTAGGATGAATACTGACCCTAGAGTTATTTCACTGTATGTTACAGAGTCAAATTCTGCTGAGGTTGGATACTTAACTTAACCAACTTAATTTTGCGTACTTCATGAAAAGGTGTGACTTTACACAATGAAATATTACAATGTGCAGGAGGAGGATGAGTTTTCTGTCTTAAGGAGGGAGTATTCAGTGGGGGAAAAGGTGAGAGCAATTTAATATCCTTTGAGAATTGTAAAAACATTGTTCAATGAACAAATACTCTTTATCCCAATTTTAGGTTGGCTCTTCCCAGCCAGTGAATTCTGGAAGCCCTTTGCTGAACAAGGAAAAAAGGGCTGCCCTGGACATTGATGTTGAAAAAATCAAGAGGAATTTGTTTGGAGAATCTTCCTCCACTATGCCAGTTAAAAAGATGAAAGGGATCAAGATCGAGGAGCCTAAACCATGATGCTATCCTTGATTTAAATATTATGTAGTAAACATGTCATGGTTATGAATAAGTATTGTGTCAGTGCCTTAAATAAAACCTAGCCAAATGGAGAAATGATTTTAGGTATGGAATTAACGTAAAGTTAATATCCTCTATGTTTTGCTTTTTGAATTTTGTAATCGGTTTGCACATTTAAGCCTAAAATGTGCTCTCCATGTAAGCCAAGTAGCCCTTATGCATATGGAGCGGATCTAATGTTTCATATATTTTTGTGATCTTTTGTTTATGTCCTACAAACTGCTTCAATTGGGAACCTAGAGTGACGTGATATCTTAACTCATCTATATTCCTATATGAATACAAATAGTCTTTTGACACTAGGTGATTTGCTTAACAAATGTGTATGTAATGTGTGAGTTGTTTGTTTGGACAACCTCATCAAGCACCATAGTGAAATATTACTCGACAAGGCATGGATATCATTGAATGTCATATGCAAAACTTGGTCATGGTCTATATATATATATATAAAATGTTTTGATAATACATTTGTCAAAGATTTAAAGTCTTTGACACCACCTTCGGAGTTGGGATAGGTTGTGTATGAGCACAACATCATGTATGACCAGAGTGAACAATCACTCAACAGGTCATATCTTTTGTAGCTCATTTCATCATTATCTGAAGAATGTGGTACTTGCACTTGCTCAAAATCTATATGCATTCAAAACACATTGATATCTATTTAAAAATAGGTAACAATTTGTGTGTAAATGATTAACAAAAATCAGAGTTGAAAAACGTGAATTTCCACAAGGGTTTTGTGGGAACCAAATAAAACAGGGAATTATCATTTCGGTAGGGTTACATTATACGTTTTGGTGGTGAAATTCAGTGACTGGCAGAAAACGGTTTAATGGTTTTACGGATTTATAAAAGTTTCCTGTAGGAATTTTTGATGGACAAAATTTGTGACTAGCAGAAAACATGATTATGCCGTTAAGGCATCATATAAGGTTTTTGGATAGGATTCCATGAGGAATGGCAGTTGTTCAAGAGAAATACATTTCTACAAAAAACCTGATAGAATTCTCCCTGTTTCAGTTGATTAATTTTTTACTGGAACCCATAAATCACATTTGTCTTAAATATGCATGTAAAGGAAAAATTCTGGGGGGAATCAAGAGATAAGCGGTGCAGAGTTGAACATACCTGGGGTCGTGCTGTAGCGGGGAACTTCCTAAATCTAGCCTAAATCTATTTATTACAACTTTTTAGGATTAAACCACATCACACAAAAAATTACAATGGAACAATTAAAGTCCACATTTCATTGATTTGCGAGTGCTAGACCTGCAATTTATAAAATAATCTGTGTTAGAATGTTCTTAAATGTCTTTGCTTAATAGTTTTGGAATGGGTATTCAGATTGGAGTTTTGTATGTATACATGTGGAAATAATATCATTAGTCCAAGGTAAATCAGGATTACACCATATCTTACCCCCCCTGATTGGCTGGCATGACCAGGGCAGTTAGTTACACCTTGGCAATTCGTATATTACATTATAAATTTACAGTCAACCATAATGCTAAAATATTACTCAGGTAAAGCTCATAGAAAATCAAGCCTAATTAGTGGAAGATAATTAATTATTCACATCCCTTTTAAAGTGCAAACCTGCTGTGATTTTCAATTTAGAAGCTAATGTTGAGAATGATAAATGCAAAACATTGAAACGGCACATATAAAAAAATGCCTAATATATTTTGCATATGATTTTTTGGGGGAGATGTTTTGTGACTGGCAGAAAAACAGTATAATGAATTGAAGGCACCTTCTATCAGGTTTTGCATGGGATTTTATGTTATGGCAGATGTTCAAGAAAAATACATTTCTGCAGAAGATCTGATAGAATTCTCCCCGTTTCAGTTGATTAATTTTGGATTGGAACACATAAAACATATTTGTCTTAATATGCATGCAACGGAAAAAATACAGGGGGGGTGGAATTAAGAGATATGCGAATACAGATTGGAGTTGAATATGATTAATCATTCCAGTATGTATACGTATGGAAATAATATGATTAATCTGAGGTAAATCAGGATTACACCATATCTCACCCCCCTGATTGGCTAGCATGACCAGGGCAGTTAGTTACACCATGGCATTTCGTATATTGCATTATAAATTTACAATCAACCAAAATGCTAAAATACTACTAATACTAAAGCTCACACAAAATCAAGCTTAAATGGTAGAAGCTAATCACACATTCACATCACTTTTGAACCATGACGTGCTGTTATTTTCAAAATAGAAGGATATGTTGACAATGTGAAATGCAAAACATTGAAACTGCACATCTAAAAAATGGTTAATTTATGAAAGGTGACAACATTAAGGCATAGTTCTGCGCTGGGTTGAATCTGTTAAACATATCATTCTGAGACCATTAAATTTAAACAGCGGTTTGAGTTCTCATATGAGGGCAATTGGTTTTACTCTAGGCTAAATTTCACTGTTTGAATAACTCACCATAGGTCACCCATGATTGTTTTAAAATTTCAGACTGATAGGTATGCTTTGATTTTTAAACCTCCAGAATACTCCTTTGTTTGAAATTTGAAATAGTATTGCATGACATATATCTATAAACATGCACTTGGAAGAAAAAATGTTGTATTTCATTTGAAGTAATGTCTGAGGAAAAATGGGTGCAGGTGTCATATTTTTAAAATCTACGTATTTTTTTAAAGTGTGGTTAGAAAATTTTATACGTGATACTCAAAATAAATTCTGCCTAAATTCTATCATAGATCAATTTAGAAATTTGTGAAATTTTCAACCTAAATAATCTGAAATTGATAAAATTCAGTCTGAAAATGATAGATTATCGCTTTATGGGGTTTTTTAAGAGTGAACTACAAAAAAATTAGGGTTTATTTGCAACAGTTTCTGCTTTTAAAAAAGTGTTTTATTTAATGAAATGGGGAGAAGTGATTAAATAAAAATTCATAGTGTTTGGGAAAAAACTGATTTTGAAAAGTAAAAGTGGGTAGTGTTTGGTAAAATAAGTGTTTTTTGTGTAATAGAAAAAGCAAAAGCACTTTTGACGCGGAAGCCGAGAAAAATCAAAGTTGTAGTGTTTGGGAAAATAAGTGTTTTTTTAAAGCCAACAGCTGGGAAGTGATTTTTTAAAAGCAGTTGCAAACAGACCTTTAATCCTTTTGAGTTCACAGCTTTGTTTCAGAGATATTTTACGCAAACAGTAAAACAGGCATGGGCTAGATGTGTAAATCATCATTCTGTCAGGTTAATTGTGCGGTATAAAATTTGGCACATCATCATTGTGAATAAAAAAAATTAATAGCTGGCTGTGAAACATTTCGGAGCTAACCATTGGTTACTTTGGATCCAAGAACAGTGTTTTAGTGTATGTGTAATGAGGTGAGTGGATGTAATCATTAGTTTTTACTATTATTTGCTCAACCAATTGGTTTTGTCAGGCATTAGAGATATCGTATGATCTACTAGGGATTTCATATCCGATTTTATTGGCCTTAGCAGTGTAATATATATTCATACTTTGCAATGTGTTAGTGATAATTCAACCGAAACCCAAAAATCTACCTATTCCTTGAGCTTTCTACTACTCCAGCTCTCCCTCATCTTTGTCAACACTTAATCTAAGGTTTTTGAGGTCAGTGAAGATAGTACATGGTAGTTCTTTGCTATCCCCCTCCAAAATAGTGAAGTTAAAGTTCCATCAGTTTGCAAACTTAATCATAGGGTTTGAGGTTTGAGTTTCTGTATTAAGAACAAAATGGCTTTTTCATTCTCAAGAGTTTTTTTTTGTCAGTGCTATGACATTATAGTTGTGGATATAATTATTTTTACTCATTTCTTACTTTATGTTTGAAAGCTGCCTTAAACGTCACTTTGATTTCTTTCATCTATGTCATAAAATCTGGAGTGTGGCATGAGGAGGGCTTTAGCATTGGACAAATTTATGAACCTAGAAGAGATGAATAGAATGCTGGAGGTTGAATAGGGAAAAATGTTTTGTAAAGGAGGATGTAACACTTCCAAATACCTAACGAGATGAACCTATTTAGAATATATCACAGTGAAAGTTTAATTTTTACTTTCATGTAGGGTTCAATGGTTTCCTGTGTCATTGTTTTCATTTTTGCGTAAAATATTCAGGAATGGCTTTTGAGGCAGGCTTACTTGATTGGGGTGTTGGTATGGTGGCTGGTGGATTTATAAGGCAGTGTGAAAACTGTTTTTATATGGTCCCCGAAAATCTGTTGAGAACAGTTGTTTGTGTCAATCGGGAGATCTGTGTTCGGTGTTATGCTATGTTTGACCTAGATTTGCTGATTGATGAAGCCCCGCCGACCCCCACACTGCCTTCCCAGGCAGTTCTGTCACGTGATTATGAGGATCCTGTTCTCGGGTGGTTCTTTGAAACCGTTGGTGAGTCTTCGGGCGCAGCCATGGGGACGCCCCCCGCTGTTGTCAGTGACGACGTTGTCTTGAGGCGTTGGGCTATGTTTGATCTAAATTTCCCGAATGATGAAGCACCCCTGACCCCCACACTGCCTTCCCCGGCAGTTCTGTCACCTGATTATGAGGATCCTGATCTCGGGTGGTTCTTTGAAACTGTTGGTCAGTCTTCAGGCGCAGTCCCGGGGACGCCTCCCGCTATTGTCAGTGACGGCGTTGCCTTGAGGCGTTCGACGCGCAGAATCTGTCTCAACAGGCGTTACTTCAATGGGCAATTTGTTGTGGACTTTGAATTTGGTTGGCTAGCTTCATAGTTATGACCTAATGTAATTTAAGTATTTTGGCATTGTGTTGGATGAGCTGTTCATGTCTCTGTTGTCCTTACCTAGCGTGATGTACTATTAATGTGTGTTTTGCCCACCCGTGTTTAATAGTATGAATGTCTTGAATATTTTATTGATAACTTTTATCCTATTAAACTGTTTATATTTGATGTGTGCCTAGGGTTAATTCTTTGTGTAGAATAACATATTTAGACACTATTATTATACGACTGTACAATTTGATAGCCCTTTTT